CTGCTCTGTGTGTTTATTTATTTGCTCGTGGTTTGGCATCTAACCCCTCAGCAGTTCCCTTGTGGGTTTTTATCTGGGGGAGTTCAAAGCCACACGCACGGACTGCAGACCTGAGGCTTGCTTATGGGAATGACCTTTTGCTGACCCTTTTAGTTCCTTAGTAGTGAACTCCTCCTGCTCGGTAATCTGCATCCCCACGCCCTCCACACCTCTATTTGAACAGCCCTCTGGCTGGAAACGCTCAGGCAGAAGGAGGAGTGTTTTGAGGGCAATGAATTGATGCTACATTGGGAGATGCAGGGACAAAAGAGGGATTTTATGAGGGTATATTCTGCTTTCTTGACTTCACTGAGTTTGGCTTAGAAAGAACAAAAGTAGTTTAGGTAAAATAAGGGGAGAAGAGTTGTTGGCTTGTCTCCACTTACACCAGTGCTGAACTGTAGTATTATGACCAAATTAAAGATTATTTTCACTCGGTAAATGCTATGTTATATTGTAGAGATGAGACATGATGGAGGTTGGATGGAGCTAATGTTTTAGGGTAATTTGTCTACAATACCTTATTCATATTAATTTTAATGTGATTTATTAAAATCACATTAAAAATAATTTTAAAAATCACCTTTAGCCTAAAATGCAGTGCTGTATTTCAAAGACAGCCTTAGACAAGGTGATGCAGCTAGTGATAGCCAAACTTCAAATTATATCCAAGTTTCTTGGTTTAGGTTGAATTACAGATTGTATCAGGGCTGTTGCAGAAGCAGTAAAGGTCAAAATACAAATTCTGAATGTTCATTTGTACACTCTAAAAGTACTAAAAGGAAGAATAAGGAGCTCCTATACACTGCCATTTTCCCCATCCATGGACAGTGACTGTGTGCTCTGCTGAATCACTGCAGTTACTGAAAGGTTTGTATTTTACCTGAGTTTAGGAGAAAAAAAACCATGATGCTTTGCACCATTACAGTGATTTTTCAAAAAGCATTCCCAGCTTTTTAGGCAATCTGTGTGCATTTTCTGTTCTGTTGTGTTATTCTTATCTTGCTGTATTAGCTTGGCAGGATGTTTTCTTTAAAAAGACACTGTCAATAAGTTTTTGGCAAGGACAATTTAAGTCTGAAAACAATTATTTTTTTTTTAATTTTATATAGTAAAAATGTTAGGAGTACAGTGGTTTTTTTTAAACTGAGCTGTTTGGATGAGAACTCTGTACACTTGCTTTTTATGCAGGCTGAAAGATGAGCTGGAAAGGATTTCTGAAAACTGGTTTGTGTCCTTTCAAAATTCTTCTGCATATACAACATACAACCCTCAAAGTTTGCTTGATTTTATACTTAAAATGACAGGAATGTAAATTAATTCTCTAGTTTCATAGTAAGGTGCTTTGGGAGTGGAAAAGCTGATGGATTTTCATTGGGAACCCTCCTGTGGTATAATTAATGTTCTTTTTTTAAACAGTAACAGAATGAGTAAAAATGCTTTAAATTCATCCATATTTACATATTGTGTCCAGAGTGTTTCTGGTAGAACAAAGAAAATAAAACAGTGTAGTCTGCTTACTCTATCCCCACAATTCCCTCAGCTGCTTGCTGACCTGTTTTAGAAAAGAACTTACACCGAAGTTTTTTTGCCATCGTATATCCATCCCCACTCTTGTGTGTTCATTTCTGTGGTAGCTAAAAAGGAGCTAATTGGTTTTCATGGCTCAGAAGCTGATCCACGCTTCTCCTCAAGAGGCCACTAGAGCACTCTGTGTCCGAGGGCTTGCCGTGAGACAGCCTTCAGGAACTGCAGGGGTGTCCAAGAACCCCGCCAGGGGTATGTCCTGAGCAGCCGAGAGCTCCTGGGCTCAGCTTACAGCCAGCTGGAGACCCTGCCGCACAGTTGGCCGGGCCAGGGCAGCACTGCAGGGGAGACCTTGTCCCAGGAGTGTTTGTTTGTCATGTCATGGTTTGTCCTCCCAGCCTCTGTTCTGTCACTGGCCACATGGCACTCGTGCAGCACAGAACAGCTATATTTGTCCTTGGGCATCTATTTTTTTTCCTTGTGGCATTTTTAAGAGAAAGCCAATGTAGAAATCTAAGTTGCTTTAAAACACCTTCTACTCCCTCACCCCCCCCAAAAAAAATTCTTCTCATGCCACAGACTATGAAGCAACAACTTTTGAAAAGTCACTAGGTGCAATTGTGGGTAACACTGAGGTTACTGTCCTGACTTCCTTGGAATCCAAGTGGGTTTAAGAACCTGAAGTCAGAGTGGCAGTTGTATAGCTTATCCAGCCCCTTTAAGAAACTTTCAGAGAGGTGTCACACTGGGAGAATAGAATGTCTCAGGCTGACACGTCCTCTCCTGTGCCTGTTGAGTGCACAGGGCACTGGGAACTGCCTTGCACAAACTGCATCTTAAAGCCCAGATTTGGCTTTAGAGGGATGAAACAACTACAGTTTATTTCTTTGGATCTTCAACCCTATTTATTTTGCACTTTGTCCTGTTTAAAATTTGTTTGCAGTGTTGAGCCAAGTAATCAACATATTACAATTGAGTAGCTGTACCCATCACCCCTGATTTCTTGAAAATCAATTTATGAAGTGTGTGCTATATTACTCTGTTCTTTTGTTCATTTGCCTTTTCTACATCCTGCTGTAACCATTATAATAATTCCTTCATTTACTCTTGTAGTGATGCTGGACAGAGGCATAATCCCCAAATTACTGACACTTCAAAAGTCTTTCCTTTGCTGATGAGAGAAGTAAAGTGTGTACCTATGAAACACAGTAAGATCATTAAGAAAATTCCAACCTTGTTTGGAAGAAAATAGTGGCATGGCAAGTCTTGTCAGTGGCCCTGGTAGTTCCCCTGCTTAAAACCCTTCAGTGACACTATTTTTAAGCCTTACACAGTGCCTCTAACTGTGAGCAGAGGCCTGGAAGCTCATTTACTAATCACAGCTATGTCAGCTGCTGGCTGGTGAGTGCTGAACACACAGTGGTGACCCACTGCTTCTTCACATGAAGCAGAATTCTCATCCCCTGGGAGCCCTTTCCATGTTCTGCAGCCCTTGCAGGGAGTCAGAGGTGTGGTATGATCTGAACTTCTGGGCTGTGAGCAAGCCCTAGGCTGCAAGCCCTAGGAATGGTGTTCTGAGAAATGCTACTGTATGTACCCTCTATAGAACAGGAGGACTCAGAAATACTTGTTCTGTTTCTTCTTGCTTCTGTACAGAAGAACTGCCTCCTTCCAAGGAGTCCTGTTAATAACATCAATGAACCAAAACTGGATTGCTGAGATTCTTTCCCCCATGCTGTGTGGTGGCAACTTTCAAAGCTTGCTTGGGACAGGTATTTTTCAATAGGGTCCCATCCACAGAAAATCAATGAAAGGCAGAAGTCTGACTTGAGAGCTCCCAAATTTCCATAAATGGGTCCTTTGCTGAGTCTGCTGGCTGCACATTGTGAAAATCTACTTGAGGGAGGTGCTGAGTATTGTGTACTATTAGTGAGAGGGGCAGCCAGTCCCCGTGGAGACTGGCATCCCTCAGGAAAGGAGGGTCAAGTGGCAGCAGGCAAGTGATGCAGTTGTCTTCTTCCAGTTTGTTACAATTCCTGTAAATCCATAAGGTAGCTGGCATATCACAGAGTGCCATCTTAGCACTTGGGTTTTGCTGAGTGTTTTCAGTACTTTTTGCTTTGAGGAGCAATTGGATCTTAAGAGGTCACCAAGGATCTGTGCTTCCTGTAAAACCAGAGGTGCCACAAGCAGTTGCTTGCAGTGAATTCTCACACAGGACTGACTCGTTGAGAGGCAGTACCTGTGGCTCATTTACTCTCTAGAAGCAGCAGTACTTCTTGGCTCCCAAGAGCAACTCAACAGGAGCAAGTAACTCCTGGCTTACTTAGAGACAAGAGTTCCCTCTTCTCCTCCTGTTAGTATGAGCTCACCAGCAGTGGATGTCTCTGCTTCCCTTGCAAGGTAGAGGCTCCACAGGAGAAAACACTCCTCCAACCTTGTCTCCACATCAAACATTGTCATCCCAGTAATTGCAACTAATTCAAGCACAATAATGTAGAAATACCTACAAAACATATAGGCAGGAATGTTCCAACAGATGAATTTGGGTTATGAAACTCTTCTCTCTTGCAAGGAAACAGTTACTCACAGTTTAGGAACTTCAAAGTTGCACAGAAAAAAGTCTCCCAGTAGCGTGTCAGCATCCAAAGGGGAATTCATACCATTGGCTTCTTTAGTAAGCAAAGTTTCAGGCCAAGCAAAAAAATCTTCATAGAATTAGTTTGCTGCTGTTGCTATTTCTCTAAATACTTTTTTTTTTTTCTACTTTAGCAGAGTCATCAACATGTTCAAGATATACATTTGAAGGGCACGGAACTAGCAGAAGAGTTACAACTTTTTGAAGCTCCAAAGCTGTCATACTTTTCCTGTTGTATGTCTGGAAAGTAATAAAGGGTATGTATGGCTTCATTTTTTTTTTTTTTTTTTAAACCATCTGCCTGTGTTACAAAGCATTGATTATTTTCAGCAGCCTAGACAAATTCGCTATCAAAAACCCTGACTGAAATGTTTATCTGAGGCTATAAGTGAAGGGGAAGCAGACATGAAGACAACAGTGGAGTTTCAATTCAACTTGAATGATTTCTGAGTTTTCTGAAATTGCTGTTCAGTTTTTCTCCTGTTAATACATGACAGTCAACAGTACCATCCCCTTTCCTAACAGATTAATATTGGTTATTGATTATTAATTTATGAACTTCTACTCTCAGTTCAGTATGCTAAAAAAGTGAGACCTAAAATGATTTCCTTCATTCTAGAAGGTAACAATTTGTACAAAGCCAGATAAGGAAAGCCTTTTAAAGGAGAAGAGTAGAAAGTAATTTGAGATTTGATAATGTCAAGTGGCATTGAAGGAATTAGAACTCATTGGCATGCAATTTGTTCATTCTCTTCTTGTTCCCTGTCTGTAGAAAGCCCAGCCACGCGTGGTCAGGATGCAGCGGAGCCTGTTGCAGGCAGCATCTCAGCTGGCACATGGGACGTGTTTGGTTTTCCCTCGCCCTGGTCTCTTCCAGTGCTTGAAAGGACAGGCAGCAGTGTCCAATGTGGGGTGCAAAGTGATTTTGGCACTGGACCCTCCCAGACGTTGTCTCCATGCAGGTGCAGCACGCTTGGCTTCAGAGAAAAGTGCTTTTTCATCCAAGCCAGCAGACACTCCTCACAAAGCACCGGAGGAGAGGAACCCTTTGACTTTGGCCACTGATCCAGCCAAGCAGAGCTCTGCAGAGTCGGATGCTTTAGAACCCGACCCGTTACAAGACAAGTCAATCGGTCTGGTTCAGAGGTTCAAGAAGACCTTTAAGCAGTATGGGAAGGTCATGATTCCAGTGCATCTCCTGACCTCCACCGTGTGGTTTGGAACCTTTTACTATGCAGCCATGAAGTAAGTTGATATTTTGCTGCAGTGCCCGATACTGCTGTTGAATTGAGACTGACTTACACAGGTGAAAGGACACTTAAATTATTATTACGTGGTTAAAAAGTGCCTCTGTGTGTAACAGGGAATTGAACCTACAGTTTTAACTGAAACATAAGGTTAATATTGAAAGGATATGGGATTTGTGAGTGTCAAGTGTGCACTGTTACCATGCAGTTACTGCTGCATATCAGATACGTTGCTAACATTTGAAGAAATACTCATCTCCCCAGAATATTCATGGATGTAAACAGCATTGAAATTATTAGTGAGTTATTAGTGGCAGGGGGTTGGAACTAGATGCTCTTTAAGGTCCCTTCCAGCCCAAACCAGTCTGATTCACTACTTCTTTCCCATTTCATCCCCATTCCTCCCTCATCATTGGACTTCCGTGTCACTCACCTCACTCTGAGTGTCTCACAAGCCATGCAGAACTTTTCCTTTTTTATTTCCATTTTCTCTCTTTCCTGCCAGACTTCTTCACTGGAAATTAAATATTTTGTGTGGCTTAAAAAAAAAAGATAAATTAAGCATTGTAAATTTAATTCCTTTCAGCTGTAGCCTGTGCCAGATACTGTTCAGAAAAATGCCATTTATTAGGGAAAAAACCTACTGTATCAGCTCTGAGCTGCTAGTTCAGATGAAAGAGTTTTTATCTGTCTGCAAATGGTTTTCTAAATATGAGTAAATGTTTATCTCTGGATTGCTAATGTTGTATATTTAATAATAGAAAGCATGGAACAAGGAGAGTTTGTGGCGGCAAGGATGGGGCTTTGACATCAGGATGCCTTGCCACACAAGTGTTTGTTTTAGTTACTCCAACCAGCTGGCATAATTGCCCTTTCTAGGAGCTATAGATCCAAATGTCATTCTAAATTTAGCTCACGTCAGAGGAATAAAGGTCTTGAGCTATAAAAATATTTTGCTTTGGATGAATTCAGGTTGATGCGTAGATCCAGACGTTTCGGATGGGGTGAAGATTACTTCTCCTGAAACACTGCAGTTAGCTGCTAAAATAGGTATTTGATGGATGAAAGCAACTGAAATATTTAACCAGAGACTAATTATAACAAAGCTGCAGTTTGTCATGCCCCAGGAGCAGCACCCTCCTGAGGTGGAAAAATAACTTTCAGAAGGACTGCTGATGACAGGGGACTAAACAGTGGTGGCTTGTGGAATAACTCCATTGCTGCTTAGGCCATGTTCTACTCTGGGGCCAGGCCTTTGGATTGTAGGTTCTAATAACTGTTAGTCAATTACTGCCTGGTAGTATTCTTGATGCTAAAACGATGGTGTGCACAGAAGAAGGCCTAAAATATTAGTGTGGAATGGATAATGATACTTAATAGCACAACATCTGTAAATATTAGAACATCCTTCTATAACTGCAGGTAGCTCTCTGCTGTAGTGTGAAGATGGACTGTGTTTTTTTTCCTTTGGTGCTGATGTTACCTTCCCTGGTTTCCAAATAGAAAGAAATTGTGATAGGAGCTCCTTCCACCCATCTCACCACCTTACATTGGCAAGGTAGAACAACTCTGTGTTGCTTCCTTTTCTTTTGCCACATTCCATGTGTTTGATATATTGAAAAGCGAATGGAGGACACTGAGGTAGGGATTCTGATTCATATAAATGGGTCACCCCTTGGAATGTGAAAAGAACATTAATTTGGCTCTATGTACCAAAATATCAACCCTGTATTGCTTAGATGAAGAACTACTTTGCTATCAAATGACAGTTGGTACGATGAAGAATGGAAACAGCACTGGAAGTCAGCCTTCAGGTTTCAAATGCCAATTCAGGTTGTCCCTTTTTGTCTCTTCCACAGAGGGGTGAACGTTGTTCCCTTCCTAGAGATGATTGGCCTGCCAGACAGCGTAGTAAACGTCCTGAAGAATTCCCAGAGTGGGAATGCTCTAACTGCCTATGCACTGTATAAAGTAAGTAGAGTTATGGTTTGTAAATAAGCTCTAAATCTTGCCCCTTGGCCTAAACAGGGTTTACTTGTTTACAGCAGAAAGAATTCATGCTGGTTTCTGTCGTTGATAGTTACACCTACTTGAGCATTCATTTTTGAAGTAAAAATAGTCCCATGGGAGCTGATGGGGGCTTTGTGTTCCTTTAAGGAGTCTGTATTTCTAAAATAACTTCTTTGTTTGCTGCAGAGCTATTATCTGCCCTCAGAGATTTAATTACAATTAAGCTATTCCTCTGTATCCCTGATATAATTAGCAGGGATAAAGAGGTAAAGTCTAAACACCTCAAGATTTTCAGATAAAAGAACAGCTCTTTTTATCCTAGCTGGTTTCTCTTCCTACCTTAGTTTTCCATCACTGTCAAGTGCTTTCATTGTCTGTTTGAATCAATTACTTACACTCAGGTTTGGGTCTCCTTTTATTGCTTTTTATGTGCACAGTCTGTGTTTGGAGAAACTTGAAATACATCAGACCATGCAAAAACAAAATAATGTGTTTGCTTTGCATGTCACTCCTCTGGTTGGTTTCCAGATGTGCTGTGCTTCTGATCTATTATTTAAAGGGGTTATTTTTTTAAAAAAAAAAGTACTACTTTTGCCAGTTATTCCTGTGCCTAAAAGAGACCAATAAATAAATGTGATTAAATATAAAGATTTTATTATTTCTGAGAGGTCTGGCAGTGTTGGAAGAAATTTTCAAGATGTGGAAACACTAGACTAGGTTGGAAGGGGAAAATTGTGCAGGCTTTATCTTTGAAGTTCTAAAAGAACAAGTGAGTCTATCCAGAATAACCTGGTTTGTTGTGTCTTGGATTAGGAGACTCTTGGTCTCTTTTAGCTCTGGGTTCCTGTGTGCAGCTCCTAGTTTTGGACCGAAAGGCGCTTGTACTCCTGTGAATTTTAACATTTAAAGCATTTCTTGTTGCCAGGGTTTCTTCTTTGCTTGTATGGCTCAGTGTTCCCATCCTGCCTGTTCTGAGATGCCCAGTGCTGGTCCCACGAGCTGCACAGGGCAGGTCTGTTTTAAAGTGGCTGATTTTTAAATGCCTGTGCTGGTTTTGTCAAAAGGGCACTGGAAGGAAAAGCTGTGGGCTCCCCGGGCCTGCGCTGTGCATCGGCTCCTCTCCCTAGAAACAGGAGATCTCTTCAGTATCTGCCACTGGCCAAAAGAAATAATACCTTTCTCTAGACACTATTGTCCTGTCCTGTTCTCTCATGTGTTGTCTGGTTTCTTTAAGGTTGCAACTCCTGCCAGATACACCGTGACCTTGGGAGGAACCTCCTTCGCCGTCAAGTACCTGCGGCAGAGGGGCTACATGTCCACACCTCCTCCAGTGAAGGAGTACCTGCAAGACAGGATGGGGGAGACAAAGGATAAAATCACAGAGAAGATGGGGGAGACAAAGGACAAAATAACAGAGAAGATGGGGGAGACAAAGGATAAAATCACAGAGAAGATGGGGGAGACAAAGGATAAAATCACAGAGAAGATCCAAGAGACCAAAGATAAAGTTTCATTTAAAAAAATTAAGGACTAGGAGAGATGGGTAATTTTTGGATATCTCAAACTTAGCACTTTAACCCTTTGTGGCAGGATATACGAAGTGCACTTCTGAGCTTTATTTTTTTCTCCCCTGCCATTGTCTGGAGACTAGAATTGCTCTGTGGATTTAAAAATTCTGTATGTTCACCAGGGTTCAAGTTCCCTGGGGGAGAGGTGGTGACAAAACTTCAGTTTACAGAAGGAAAAGCGAATCTCAGAAGCTTGTGTGTCCGTTGGTAATGGTGTGGAGAGTTACTCTTGCCTCTTTTTGATCCCTCCCCTCCCTCAAAATGAAGATGGATTCCTCCAACAGCCACTGCTTTGTTCTCTTCCATCACAGTGCACAGCCACTATTCCATTAGACTGAATCTTCCATTAAAAGAGAATGAAGACTTCCTCCTGGCAAAGGCAACGTGTGTTGGTTTTCAGAGTATTTGTGCCCAGACCTCTGCAATCATCATCATCATCTCTCAGCTTGGACTCGGACCCTCGTCAGTGAAGCTGCACGTGAAGGAGTCAGTGGATTGGCCACTCAGGCTGGATAGGTTACCAGGGCCACACAGACTTCAGCTGAGCTGTGATACCTCACAGGCTGAGTCCAGGAGTCTTTCTGGGACTGTGTATCTTGTTGGACATCTCAACTGAGAGCTGCAGGAAGATGAGTTATTAATCACAGTAGCCATACTGTCAGGTATGCTTTGTTTCCTAATGCTGATTCACAGTAGAAAGAGATTCAGTGAAAATAATCAATAATTGTATATTAAAAATTGAGATTTTTTGGGTATTATGTTAACGTTTACAAAACTCTTCTATTTCATTTTCAGAACAAAAAAAAAATCCAAGAGTTTACTTGAGAACTTGGTATACTTAAGGGGCTTTTTAAATACCTGCAAAGTTAACCCAAAAAGTTCCTCTTCCTGTTCAGGAGTCCCTCAGACTTCAGTAGAACAATCCAGCTGTAATAAATATAGTTTCTGAGTTAGTGATCACAGTCTACCAAACTCTGTTTTTTTTCCCCCCTACATTTTCTTAGTTCAGACAAATAGTTATTCCCAGCTGAAGGCTGAAATGCTGTCTCAGGTATTGTGAAGGACTGGAGCTGGGCCTGCTCTGCTTGGCTGGGCAGGCAAACTTCTGGTTTTATTCTAGTGTAGGCTGAACTGAAGTGTGTGTGGGTTTGGTTTGGTTTTGACCCTGTTTTGACTCTGCATGTGCATCTTGTTTAACAGTGGTGGGGTTTTTTTGCAGGGGAGTGTGGGGAAGCAACAGAGCTGGGCCTTGAGCATTGAGACTGGGTAAGAGAGGAAGGGGAATGGCTGATAAAGTGCCAGCTCTGCCCCTCTCCTGCCTTTTCAGCCCAGTCCCCAGGGGCCTCTCCCTGTTCCAGTGCACTGAACTGGCCTGTGCAGGATTGGTGCCGTGCCTCTCTGCCCCTGTGCACACCCCCCACAGGAGCTGCAGTCTGCTGCCTACCTCACAGGGGTGTTGTGAGGAACAGTCATTGTGTGCTCAGTGCCCTCCAGATGTAAAGTGCCACGTTTCTGATAAATATTATTAAAAAATAATTCTGTGAACTCTCGTGCTGTTGAGATGAGCACTGCTGTAGGACTGGAGTTGAGATGCTTTGATTTTTTTCTGGTTTGGTGTTCTTTTCTGTGTGCATTCCTCTGATGTTGGCATTTCTCCTGGTTTTCCATTCTCCCTGTGTCCTGCAGCCCCCTTCAGAGCTTGGAGCCTGCCCCAGGAGTCACCCATGGTCACCCAGACGTGGGAGCCCCCTAGGGCAGCTCACAGGATCCATCTCTGCTCTGCACGTGGCAGGGGTTGGTGTCCTGGGATGAGTCCATAGCCCCTGGGCATCTTAGCAGATGTTCATCACACAGACACACCCTTTTGTTACCCCCATCCCCTCCCTTGTCCAGCTGCCTGGTGGCCACTCCATCATTGCCAAGACCTCCCCTCTTGTCTCTGTCCTGTGTGACCATTTGTGCAGCTGCAGGAGCAGGTCCCAGTGACAGCTGGCAGCTCCCAGCACTCTCTGGGGAGCCCGCTTGCCCAGCCTGGAGGAGCCTCTGGGACAGCCCATCTCCCACCCAGCATGGCACTTAGTGCACACCACCCTGTGGACCCAGCCACACCAGGCAGCAGGGGAAGCCTTCCAGGCTTGGAGAATCTGACTGGAGAGCTCTTGTGACACTCAAGTCAAATGCTTGGTTGTGCTGGTGCCCTTCTCTCAGCTCAGCCTCATGGGGACTTGGTGTGTTGGCTCATTAGTGCACAGGCCAGCTGGGGGCTTCCTGGGCCACCCAGGGAAGGAGTGGCATTGGCCCACGGGGTGCCCAGCTCCATGGCAGTTTTAACTGTAGGGTAAAGTTCACCTTTATCCTTGTGTCTGACTTAATTGTCCAACCAAAACCTCCCCTGGTATAATTTGAGGCCATTTCCTTTTGTCCTATTGCTTGTTACTTGGGAGAAGGGACCAACCCTCTGCCCCCCCAGCCCCCTTGCTGCACTCTCAGAGTGAGGTCTCCCTCTCCTCCTTTTCTCCAAGCTAAGCAGCCCTGGGTCCCTCAACTGCTCCTTGCCAGACTTATGCTCTGGCTTCTCCAGCTTTGTTGCCCTTCTCTGGGCATGCTCCAGCCCCTCAGTGCCCTTTTGTAGTGAGGGGCCCAAAGCTGAACTCGGGATGTGAGGTGCAGCCTCACCAGAATCAAGGCTCTTATGTTCTCATCTGAAATGGAGCTGGGATCCTACACCCAAACCAAACCCCTGCTGCTGGGGGGCCAGCAGTGGAATGGATCCAGTACTGGCAGCTTCAGGGGGCTGTCTGGGCAGTTGGGACTGGGGGAGACAGCACAGGCTCCTTGTGACCACTGCCTTCACCTGCCCCTTGTGCCTGCTGCTGTCCTCCCAAATGGGGTCTCGGAGCAGGTGGAGGCAAAATGCAGATCCACTGTTAGGCTCTGACACATGAGCTGCAAGTTTGCCACACACCTTTTTTTATTTTTCATATGGGAACGTCCATCACTGCCAACAGAGTTGCCAGAGAACACGTAAGGACGTGGATCCAAGTGAATAGGAGAGGTCCAAGATGAGAAGTGCTCAGCTCACATGCAGCTACAGTTCCACCAGCTCCCAGAGGCAGCAACCATCGTTTGCTGCAGAAGGAAACACTCCAGAAGGATTTTAGTGGGAGGGAGGGAAATTCCTCAGCCTTGGCTAATGCTTCATTGCAATACTCATTTAATTTCTACCTTGGATTAGATTAGAAAAGCCATGAAAAGAAAGATAGCTCACTGTAATTGTACATGAGGAGCACTCCAAGTTCTGCCTGGTGTCACTAACATTTACATTCTGGTGTGCCCAAGGCACTCGTCCAGCTCTGCACAGTGGCTGCCTGCAGACAGCCAAGCAGCTTCAAAAACAGAACAGAAGCAGCACTTGCACTACAGCAGGACAGTTTGGAGCCCAGTTCCACCAGAGACAGGCACTTGGTCTCACCCCTGGTGCTGCCAGCGGGGTGTCGGTGTGCCCCATGCCACCTCCCTGCCAGAGCAGGGGTTTGGAGTGTTTCCCTGGCCCACAGCAGGAGCTCTCCTGTGTTTCCTTAGCCAGAGGTACAGCCCTGAGGCTCAGCCACGGGCTCTTAACATCTGCACAGCACCAGGGGCTCCAAAACAGCCCCAGCTCAAGGAGCTCCCAGCGCCTTCCATCTGCACTACGGAGGGGGCAGAGGACCCCGAGTGGCTTCACAGCCAGCCCAGCAAGCTGTACCTGCTGGCCTTGCCCAACAAAACCTGTACTGAGCATCACCAGCTCATCAGCTTTTTCCCCTGAGAGCCGTGAAGTCTTCAGCCGTAAGCACATTTTATAGCACTTCCCTCCTAACCCCCCTGCTGGGGAAGAACTGGCTCCTGTGCATTTGGCTGTTGCCCTGAGCCCTGCTGGAAAGCTGTGGCAGCACACCGGGCTCTTACCTTGGACTCGTGTGGCTTCTTCACCCAGCAAATCAGCTGGGGCAGACGTGGCTCTGCTTAGGGAACACTCACAGCTCTGTAGCACAGTTACACACGTATGGAGATACACAGGGACACGCAATAAGCTGCAAGGGTCTTGCTGCTCTGAGAGGAAAACAACTTTTTCCTTTCTTTTTCCCCCCCCTTGGAGTTTCTTGCTGCCCAGGGTTGAATGTAGGTCAAGCTGTCTGAGCCCATGTCTGTGGCACACAGCATGGGATTAGAGCAGAACTCTCCACTCAGCTGGACTGTCAGTTAATCTGGGGGGAGCTGGGGTGGGCACTGAAGGAGCTGCTGGGGCTCACAGAGGCAGCTTTGGGCCCCACGAACCAAGATGCCCTCTGGAGGAGGGGACTATCAGCCAAACACCAGCTCTGCATGAGCCAGAGGGACACCTGCCTTGGACTGGGCAGGAATCACCTCCCAGGTGGAGGGACTGGGGATGGTGGTGAGAGGAAGGTCATACACCCAGAGAGGTGGTCGCTGCCCCATCCCTGGAACCATCCCAGGTGAGGTTGGCCGGGGCTCTGAGCACCCTGCTCTAGCTGCAGATGTCCCTGCTCCCTGCTGGGGGGGGTGGGGTGGACTAGATGGCCTCTGAAGGCCCCTTCCAACCCTTCTATGAGTCTGTGATTACCCCCAGCATCACCACAGTCTGCTCTGAGACCTGCCACATGCGTCTCAACACGTTTCCCCATCATTTAGCACCTTTCTGCTACTGCCCTCCATTGTGCCTCACCTTGGAAACATTAAAGGGCACAAAATATCTTCTGGTGAACCCAGTTCTTCTAAGGAGAGGAAGCCTTCAACGTGCCCCTCCTCTAGCTGTGCTTAGTATGTCCACTGGCAGCCCAGCTTAGCATGGCACAGACGTCCCTGAGCCAGCTCATACAGCCCAGCCAGCTTAAATCAGCTGTTAAAGGCAGTTTGGAACACCTCAGGTGAGCAGAAAGAGGCAGGGACATAGTAGCCAGCACAG